ACAAAAGTTGTTTATCCTGTGTATAGTTTGCAGAAACGTCTCTTTTCTTTTTGTTTTTGTGTTATTCTTTTAACTTAGTTGAAAGTTAGAGTGCCTCTCCTCTTTCTCTTGTATCATCAAACTACCACATTTCTTAATCTTTCCATATTGACTTGACTAGTTTCATGGTTTGGCTCTTACTTATCTAAAAACAGTTTGATTCATATGAGTTCTTTCACCCAAATATAGCAGAGCGGAACATCGATTCGTATGGTTTTTTTACAGAGCTTTGTTTATGGGTTTGAATTCTATGCTAAGGAACATAAAAACAGTTTTATCTTCTCTTAGGCATTCCTATTTAAGTCCATTGTCACAGCTCTCGCCAACCTCAGGATCACAACTAGCATCAGCAGATAATAAGACCACCTGAGTAATGAAATTCCAAAGCAAAATTCAGACATCAGTCGGTTAAAAGGGAACCGAATGACGAGAGGGAGAGAGAGGCCAAACCTGAGAAAGAAGAGGCCAAACTTGAGAAAGACCATTATTTCTGGTTCAAGAAGTGGTAATCCCCCAAAAATCTCAGTCTTTACGGGAAACATGAAAAGAAGAAGCACTCTCTTAGACTTGTAAAAACTCTTAAAGAAGTTTCTATCTCAAGAATTCGCAAAACACCGATCTTCTTACCTGATTACTGCTTAAGTAAGTATCAAAGACTCTGTGTCCTGACTGAATCTCAACATTTAGGTCACAGATTAAGCATTCCAAAAGGTCAAACAAACCCATGTAACCTTTAACGGCAGAGTAACAAGTCTTTCCATGGAAGACCTTAGAATCAGAATCTGCAGATTTAGGAGTCTTTCCTTGTGATTCGTATGGCGAAAATCTTTCACCTTCTCCGTTTGCATTTGGTGTTTTAACATCTAAACCTGAAATATGCATACAAGGCTCAAAATCTCAAGAACACATGTAAAAAATTTTCATTCGTTTTCAAGATAAGCAAAACGCATGAGTCAGACAGAACCAATCGGATCTTTTCACATTTGTCCACCAAATAGAACATTGCATAACTCAGTTTCAATCAGATTATATGAATCAATAATGATACAAACGAGGTTTTATGCAACAGAAAGAATCAAGATTGAAGCATCACAAAATACCAAATTTTACAAGGAAGCAAAGATGATCCAAAAAGAAGTGAAAGATTGAAACTTTTAGTGACCAATAGCGAAAATCGAACAAGAAAGATCAAAAAGCAAATGAAGAACACTAGTATTCGTATTCGATACTCACCAGAAGAAGAAGAGATCATCAAGAGATGAAGCAAGAGGACCAGAACCATCATCTTCTTCGTTATATTTCTTCCCATCTTCTTCCGAAAAATTCTCTGGTATAAATGTATAATTCGTTGATTTGCCAATCCGGTTTACGGATCAATTTCGGTTTACTAAGAAACTCAAC